TTTTGTTAATATAAAGTCAACGTTTTAAAATTATCTACCAAATTATTAAATAAATTTAAATTGACGTGTATAAGTCGATATTCTAAGCCTCAATTTGTGCTAAGATTCTCTATATGAAAAGTCACAATTTTGGAAAACATAATATAGATATGAAATTGCCCTTTCAGACTCATAAAAATAGAATTTAAAGGTTTAACTGTGGTTCAATTATCATGATAAATCCTTTTCTCTTTTGCAACTAGGGCAAATTGCTCATTCCTTTAATGGAAAATTTTGTTTTAAAATCCAGCAGTAATTATTTACTTTTGGAAAGTATCGCCACCAAACTTTCATTTTATTTCCCTTTTTATTATAGTGAAAAAGGATAAATATACCTCCGAACTATCAGAAATAGTATGCAGATACCCTTCGTCATACTTTTGGGACATTGGTGCCCCTGTCGTCCAAAAACTAGAGCACATATACCATTTATACTAACGGACATACATGTGTCACAATCTTATCCACCGATCTGACATTTATTAAATATCGGATCGACTGATAAGATTGTGCCACGTGTCCCTATTTAGTCTTCCGTTAGAGTGAAGGACATATTTGCTTTAGTTTTTGGACGGCAGGGGCACCAATATCCCAAAAGTATGACGGAGGGTATCTGCACACCATTTACGATAGTTTAGGGGTATGTTTGTCCTTTTTCCCTTTATTATAATACTAAGTCGAGTCCAAGCTAAACTCAATAAAACTTATTATTATATCGATCTGAGTAAATTATAGCCTCAGTTGAGTCCAAACAACTATGTTAAAGTATAATCAAGCTTGTGCCTAGTCGAATTGAGCCCAACCTAATATTTTAAAGCATAATCAAGCTTGTGCCTAGTTGGGCAGAGTCGAGTCGGCTACATTAGTTCCCAACCAAGTTTGCCCAACTTATTATGGCGGTGTTCCGTACAAAATCAAAATGCATCGTCTTCAAGATATCAAATAATATTTTTATTCAGGAGAATATTTAAATTGATTAGTCACCGTATCAAATTTGTGACTAAGGAGACACTTGAGACTGATATTGCAACTAGTGTGTGTGTGTATTTTACCTAAATTTTGAAGTACAATTAATTAGGTCATGAGTGTAAAGGTTTATTTTCTTGGTCCATTTTCTTGTCTTATATTGTACGTCTTTTTAATTAATTAATTTCATGTGAATTTTCAACTGTTTTGATGGAGATCGATTGGAACTTTCACAAAATATCTTTATTCATTTATTTCTTTTATCATTATTAAATTACAACATGACACAAACATTAATTTAAAATTAAAAAGCCTAAAAAACAGCCACAAAAAATAGATTAATAATTGTACCTATGTTCTTGTTTTACATTACTAAGTTCTTGACTTTTATCTCTACAATTTCAAATTCATTTTAAGTAGGAAATTTTATATTTTTACTTCTTGATATGTCGACAAATTATGATGTTAGTTCTTGTTTAATTTGGTTAAGCATATTAATTACTTTTCCCGTTCGTTTTTGTTTATCCACTTTAAATTTTGTGTTTCCACTAAGAAATAATGATTAATATGAGTATTTTTTATTCATATTGATAATATCTCAAAAACATTTATATAAGTTACTAGAACATTATGAGAGTAAGATGGATTGGGAATTAGGGGTGTAAGGGGGGTGGAACGGTCAAGAAGCTTGGAAGTTATTTATGGAACTTGTTTTCACTTGTCTATTAAGAAAAGTCATTTTTCTTATTTTTAAGAAGCTTGTTTTTCTAGAAAAATTATTTTGAACAACCAAATATGAAAAAATTGAAAATTATTTTTCAAAAAAATATTCTCCTTTGTACTAAACACACCTAAATAAAATCATGATATTCTTTTCAAATCCATATATTGAATGGATAACTCATCAAAATTCAAAACCCATCCTAAATATAATTGATGGTAAATGTCTTGAATTTGAATTTTAGATATATAATTACGTACCTTTATTAGGAAATATTTTACACCTATTGCAGAATTTTACGATGCATATCCTGATTTTGTTGGGTTTTAATATGAATACAAACATAGGTTAAAAAACAAGTAAAAAAAGCTTCCACCTATTAGATGAGATCTTTGACCAATTCTTTACATTACATAATTGACAAGAGGACTCAATTGAACACACCAATAATCATGACGCCATGAAAAGTCAAAATTGAGAGTTGCCGTTCAAATTGAAACATTTTGTCTATAAAATAATATTTATGTTAGACCATGTTTCAACATGTCATAGGATGAAAAATATTTACTACATTATTTTAGAATATATATAGTAATTTTTAAGACATTATTATTGTTCAAGCTTTCTTGCTGGCCGCGGCAGACCAAGCAATATAAAGTCAACAGGTACTCCGCTCCTTGTGAGAGAAAAAAAAAAGAGCAACAAATCTCTACTGTATTCGCGTCGAAAAGTTCTATATTGAAGATACAATAGTCTCCTACATAGGTGATTCAATATTTAAGAAAATTCGAATTAGATAACTTTTGATTAAGAATAAAAAAAGACTATCCACTCCATCAGAATCATTATTGTATGAAGACTTATACTTTTAAGTGATAGTATTAGGATAAATTATTTTATTAAATATTTATTACCTTTCATCACTACATTGTAACAAGTAACATTGCCCAAAGCTTTGGCAGAATGAAAAGAAATCATGTAAGCTTTTTCATAAAATTTTCATGATTTAAAGAATCTTTAGTAGTTCAATTAGTTTATTATCTATACTCTCACTTACCTTATTCGGCAGAGTTCAATTTCTCAATTCCCTCTCCATTTTCTCTTTCCTTGTCTCCAATATTTTTTCAAAAACATAAATAAAAAGATCTTATGATTCTTTCTTCGATCACTTTATTAATCAGTAGGTCATGAACAAAACTAGGAGACTGTAAAAGGGTTCATCAAAATTTCTTATGATTCTTTATTTATTTGTTTATATGTGTCTTTTTAATAAAAATTTTGATTCTACCACGATATAGTCTTAGATGCTATCAACAACACTTCTAGTCGGCCTTATATATCTTCAATATGTGGTTATATAATATATTGTTATGGACGTACGTTTCTTCATATGGAAAATATATGAGAAAAGTCCTCTAAAGTCCAATATACACATTACAAAGTATTTAATTTGATTTCATTTTCAAGAATCAATCAATTCATCCAATTATAAATACACAACAAAAAAACTTAACTAAATTGGGACCCTCTTTTCTTGTTAGGTGCCCTTTCTTTACCAAACAAACATTGGTTAACATCTCCACCTAGCCCACAAATACTTATACTCATTCCCCACAAGCCCTACCCAATCTTAATAAATATAATCAAATCCACATGGCATCATGAAATAAATCATAGTTTGGTAGGGTCCATATTGGCAATTATATTCTTATCTAAATTAATTTCAAAATATATCTTGATAAGATGATAATTTTATTGATGTGGTGGAAACAAATTCTTGATTACAAGTGGAGTTATTTTTCCATATATGTATTTACACATCAAAATAGGATAGTATTAATGGAGAAGTGTTATCGAAATATAATATAATAATAACTATATTATTACCGTTAAATAATTTACGATTAACCCCTTTATTTGTTGCAGTGTTGTAACAAGAATTTGGATGCTAAGATATTTTGTGGTCATACAAGATATTTGGTTGAAGTTGCAAATAACACACGTAGTTGTTACGACCGCCAGATTTATAGTCTCAAAGTGCAAAATTATGGTTAAGTATCTCAGTTCTACTATTCATGAATGCAAGTTTCACAAAGTGATGGGTAAATCTATTACTTGGTTAGTCAAATAATTTATGTTCAAAAGATAGAAGTTGTGAAATGAAGATTGTTTGATAGACGTGTAATCATATTAGGAGAGATAAAATTAGAAAGTAAGATATTCAGAATAAGATGGAATTGACATCAGTAGATCGGAGGTCAATATACGGAAAGCGAGACTGAGATAGTTTAATCATGTGAAGAGGAAGGAAATGCATGGATGCCCCCAACAAAGGCATAAAAGGTTGGCAATGAATGGTGGCTTCAAAGAGGTAGAGATAAGTCAAAGAAGTATCAGGAGTTGTAATAAGACATGACACGACACGACACAGTTTCAGCTTATCGAAGACATGACCTTCGATAGGAGGTTGTGGAGGACACAAATTAGGATGAAAGATTAGTAGATAGTAGAGAGTTGTCTCACTTATCTTTTCATACTAATAGTGATAGTGTATCTTAATGCACGTATTTAATTTATTCTGACCTATTAGAGGGACATACTTTTTGGGGAATATGAGTCGAAGCAATAACAAGAACATTTTTAGTAGAGCATCTTTCACAATCCTTAGAAAGATCGATGATTCACTAATATACTCACGGTAGTTTTTTGTCCTTCGATTTTTGTTATTAATAGTTATTTTTTATATTTTGATTATCATATTATTTTGTAGTTACTACTCTTTTCCGTTCTTTCAACATGTTTTCTATAATATTTTGCCATTGCTTCTTTACTTTTATTATTTTGTTCGACTTGTTTTGAAATATTTTTTCTTGAGCCGAGGATCTATCAAAAAACAGTCTCTCTAATAGTAATATAGTCCATGTATAATCTACCTTCTCTAGTTCTGAATATGCTATTATAAAAAGCTTTCATTTTATGTAATACGAGATCTTCATTGTTATATATAAAAAAAAATAATCTGAAAGAGCCACAATAGATTATTTCCTCTTATTTTTTACCAACACTTTTAATTTATTTTTATTTAGAACTGGGACAGAGTGTTTGTACTTATTTGAACATACCAGGATGATGCTGCAGAAATTAATTGAACCAAGAGGCAGTGTATTCACATGATCACTTTGACCAACAATTACAAAAAAAATGAAAAAAAAGAAGCTTTTCATCATCCTTGCAAGTTGCAACTAATCATATACTATTATTATTATACAATACAATATTTTTCAATAAAATAATTGATACAAATTGTAGTTCATTTCACACCTTGAGGCTGCTTTAATTTAAAGAAAACATATAGGGTAAGGTAGGGTCTACTTTCCTCATCACTTGCTTTCATTTTGACTCTTTCCCAATGCTAACTTCATCATACTATAATGGAAGAATGTTGTGTTTTCACCTAGTAAGTGAAAACACAAAAAACTAGAGGAAAAAAAAAGGGTAAGAAACTTCAAAGAATTTTGTTTACTACTTCAAGAAAACAAGATTTTACACAAAATACTCTTTTTTTTCTGTGACCCACACAAATGATATAGTACTCAATCTAAACCAAGCTTGCAAATCATTTCAACTTTGCTTATTTCCCAAATCTACAAAACATAGGGAAGAGAAAGATCAATCTATCTATCTATATATACCATTAGACCCCCCATGGAATTGTTCTTTAATTGCCAAAGTTGGAAACTTTTTTTTGGTATCAATCAAGGGTTATTGGCTTATCGATCCATTCGTTATCAGCAGCAATCCTACCGGAGCCACGACCAGTCATTTTGCCAAAAGAACTTACTGCTGATAACCCCTTAAAGCTACTGCTGCCCTCGCTGACGTTTCGTGATCTCCTAGTCTTTCGAAGCTTTGAGGAGTGGAGATCAGAATCTGTGTCATCGTTCTTTGTGGCCTTAATAGCTTGTAACTGTACAATGTTGCTTCTGCAGAATGGGCACACGGGTTCTGGTGGACTAGTCGTGGTCGGATTTGGCTTGTTGTGGCAGCATAAGGCCAGTACACAATGTGCACACATCTGGTGCCCACAGTCCTGGACTTCAATTGTGCATAATTGATCAAAACAGATACAACATACTTCTGTATCACTGACCTGCATTACATAATTGATAATCCCATGTGAAACTCGCTGACAAATGGTCAGACTTGAAATGGTAGATAACAAGAGAACAATCACTTAGACTTGAAATGGTAGATAACAAGAGAACAATCACTTATTACTAGGAAATATCTCGATCCACAAACATCAAGAAACCCAGTGTTATCCCACAGGTGGGGTCTAGGGAGGTTAAGGCGTACGCAGACCTTACTCTACCTTGAGATGGTAGAGAGGTTGTTTATCCCGATAGACCCTCGGTTGAAAGAACAATAGGAATATCTCAATCATCAGGTTAAAAATCAAGTCTTGGTATATTTTTTGGAATAGATATTATACTCTATAGTAACCACAAATATATTACACCACATCTTTTCCACGCAAACGTAGTTTGGTTCACCAATATATTAGTTATTTATTAGCAGAGTAAGATATATATTTCAATAGTAGTTTACATGTTATCTGGTATAGTTGGTGATGTATTACCTCAGATATGTTGTCATCCACCCCTGCATCAGATTGGGATGGGGAAGGTGGAGAGTAATCTGTCCCCTTTAAGATATTTTTTTCCCTCTCCTTATTCGCTTCCATTAATGCACGTTCTAGTAAAGCTTTCGCCTCATCATTGAGCTGACTAATGAACTTCAACGGCGATGGCCACACAAGAGGCTCTGCCGATGAAGGATTCAACAAAGCTGCACAAGCACCATGGTGGTACCTTAAAGCAACCGTGTATGGTATTCTCCTGCACCAAAATGACCAAATAAGGACTAGACACATAATTATTAAGGTACAAATCAAATAACTTAGATCAACTATAGGGTAATTTTACAAACAGTAACATTCTTGAAAAGATCAAAATCGACAAAAAAGACATACCCGGTGGAATCTCTATGTAGTCGATCTGCTCCCCACGCCAACAATTCACGGATGCAATCAAGAGAGCCACCTCTTGCAGCCAAATGAAGTGGAGTGCTACCAGGAAATCTGTACAAAATACAAAAGCTAATTCAAACAACATGAAAAGCGTAACATAGAAATCAACTTCTTGATAAGAAAATTACCCATATCCACCAGTTGACGCGCAAACCAGAGCACCATTGTCAAGCAAAATGTGAACACATTCAGGCCGTCTTTGACGGGCTGCTAAATGCAAAGGTGTTGCTCCTTTACCATCTCTAACATTCACAAACCTTGCATATCCCCTAGCAGATTTCACAACCCAATCAATTCGATCAAAAACAAACCATCAACAACATATACGCAAAGAAGAATCAATTCCTTACCAAGATGCTGCAACATGAGATGTACGAGCTGTGGATAGAATAGCTTTAAGTGATTCAAAATGTCCATAGTATGCAGCATAGTGCAAACATGTTCTTCCATTAAGTGAATCAAACTTCAAAATCTGAACACGAAAAAATAATCACAATTGACAAAATCAGTTCTAAAGCATAATCAAGAACACACAAAAAACCAATCTTGAAAAAGACTTTTTACAAGCATACATACATTAGCTCCTGCTTCAATTAGCTTTTCCACACAAGAGATCTTCCCATGCATTGCTGCTAACATCAATGGAGTCTAAATCAACCAAAAAAGCACAGTTAAAATACACACAACTCAGACACTCAACAAACACTTGGTTGACACAAAATTAACTAATCACCTGCTTAGAGCGATTCAACAAATCTGGGTTGATAGATTTGTTCAACAGCATAGTAACAACCTGAAAAGTTTAAAAATTCAATCAAAATCCATGAATCAATTTCTACAAAAAAACACCAAAATTTCAATTTTTTTTCAAAAACAGAACATTTTCAAGAAACCCAAATCCCACCTCGATCCGGCCATTGGCAGCAGCAATATGAAGAGGAGATTGTCGATCATATACAGTAGAATGATGAATAAGAGATGGGTTTTTCTCTAAAACAGATTTTAATGTGTCTAAATCACCCAACTGAACAGCACAGAATAACCCATGTTCATCACTCGTTCCACAACTCAGTCCCTGACCCATTTTTCCAGAAAAAGAAAGGAACTTTTTTTGCACCACCGTAGACGGCGGCGGAGGTGGCGGTGGTGGAAAGAAGTGTGAGAGTTTTACATATTTATATTTATGATGGATGAGAAAGTGTTGAAGGGAAGAAGTTGAAGATTGGAGCTGCCCGAAATGAGGTGGGGTAGAAAGAATGGGCAGGTGACCGAGGCGACAACGGGCAGGACTCAGATATTTGTTCGGGCAGTTTATTTAGATTCTTCAAATAATACTACGCAAATACTTTGTTTCAACGTCTGTGTGTTTGTCTGGGGATGACTCCTACGCAGACTTCTACTTTTACTTTTTACTGTTCGGATCTATTATTTTATAGTAATATTTATATATAATTAAACTTTTTAAATATATTAGTATTATTATTTTTGGTATCTTATATCAATAATTTAATATGATTCGATCAGTTAATTATTGATATGTTCTCTATATTAAACACGTTAAAGCAAAAAGTCTCACATTGATAGTTAATGAGATGGGTGCACTCTTTATAAGAATTGAACAATCCTCCTCCATTTGAGCTAGTTTTTTGGGTGTGAGTTAGGCCTAAGATTTAATTTAACATGGTATCAGAGCAGAGTCTGTCCCAATCAATCAATGTTGGGCCCCCTAAAATAAAAATTGTTCACGCATCAGATGCTAAGCACTGGACGTGAGGTGGGGTGTTAAAGAATGACAAAAGTCTCGTATTGGTGGTTAATGAGATGGGTAGACTCCTTATAAGGCTTGGGCAATCCTCCTCCCTTTGAGCTAGCTTTTGGGATGTGAGTTAGGCCTAAAACCTAATTTAACAAAACATCGCATCAGACTTACAAGTAGAAGTTGAAATGCATGTGCTACTTTGGTAAAACTTCATTGTTTGAAGGACGATGGTTTAAGAGAACATGAAAAGACGACGAGAATACAAATCTATTTCATTATTTTATGATGGTGTAAAATAAAATTAGACAACAAAGACAAAAATTAGAATTACAAAGTGAAAAGAAATTAAGTAAAATTGACTCAAGAAAATACTGAGTCTATTGAGATTACATATTCAGTATTCAGTAAGAGAAAAAAATATATATCTAATACCTTGTAATTTGTTATTCAAGATCATTAGAATACTTTATAGTTTATTATTCAAGATGTGAGAATTAATTTAATTTCAATTGAAGGTTAATCTTGTAGTCATTTCTGTCAACTAGACTCAAGACGAAAAATTCAATATTTCATTATTTATTAATTTAATATATAAAATTATTCTTTTGTTTAAACTTTAATTAAGTGCAACAAAATTGACCTTAACTAATTAACAGGTAAAAAGTGGGTTACTAAACTTATGATATTTCTTTCTCTGTTTTGTCTATTCTTTTAGATTGTCAAAGTAGAGTAATTGATTTATCCTTCATTTGGTTCCATTAAATATAATTTATAATTATATAATTATCTATAATTTATTTTAAATCACAAATTCTAAAAAATAGTCAGTCAAAACACCTTAAATAAATTGAAATAAGGAGAGGAATAGTTACTTATTTTTGGCTGTAGTAAATTGCCCATTTTTTCTACATTAAATGGCCATCGACTTTAATGCATGTGGTTTCTCGAACTTGTCAAAACGACTATAGTATGACTTCAAGTAGGAAGGAAAATATTTTGTTTCGATTTATATGACGTAATTTTATAATGTTTCAAAAATATATTATTTTGAATTTATATTTCATGAGTTATAAATTCTTTAAAAAATATAATCGAGCTCATGATATATAATTTATGAAATATTATCATTTAAAAATATAAAATTTATACCTCCAAAAAAAATTAACTCATAACAATAAATTTAAGATTAAAAGATAAGAGAAAAAGTACAATACCTAAGTTTTGTGTTAACTTACTTAATTATAACTAACTGATGAGTTGATAGTCTAAGAAACTTTTATACTATCGATTAATATAACTTAAATCTTTTAATACTATCGATCAATATAACTTAAATCTTTTAATACGTAATAAGTTTCACTCTAAAAAAAAAGGGGGAATATTTTGAGTATGGAAAGTAAGGTAAGAAAATGTGAGAAAATTGATCCATGAACGTAATACCATTATTATCGTTTAAGGGAATGAAAAGAATATTATTATAAGCTTCTTAAAGGTATTGCTGAAAATTTAAGCAAATCTTTAAGCTAGCTTGATGTACTGTGTTTTTTTGGGCAAAGCTAGTACTAGCTTTCATCAGCAGTTGATATTTCCCTTTTCATTTAACGGAAATAATATTATTTGTGTATTCGAAGTTCTATCGATAAAAAAATATAAGATTGCGTAGACATTACTTTCTTTAAAGCTTGGTCATTAGTAAACTTTTACTGGATATGTTATTGTAATATCCTATTATATGCGTACCTAACAAGGTAAATGTATATTATTGTGCTTGTACCACACATTTGATTCTTGTTACATTAATTGTCAATAAATGATAAAACGTTACCTTTTTACCTAGAGAAAAATTCCCATTGCTTTACACATATAGCTACACCTCGACCCTCTTTCTTATAGGTGGACCATATGAAGCATATTAAGAAACCATATATTTAGCAGTGCACCAAACTTTATGATGGAGTAATGAATAAAAATTAGAGTGTTTAAAGATTAATCCAACGTGATTTTGGAAAATAAATATACTTTAATTGTTCTCTCCAAAAGTTTTGATTCGATCATCTCAAAAATTTATTTAGATTTTGATAAATTGGACCTATCTTAGCCAATTGTTTTGCTTGTTTGGGTGGGGGGTGGGGGCACTACACAAATAACCGATTTTCGAATGAGTTTAGCAACTTTGAAATCAATTTCAGATATATAACATGTTTGAAATTGTAAAAAATTATGTATAAACTAACTATTGTTTTGTCTGAAGTTCAAGACTAATTTTGAGATCAATTTCAAACATACGCAATTAATATTGTATGAATCTACCTCCGATATTATAACATTTATCTGAAGTTTAGATTGACAGTCTAAAATTTGAGATTGGTATATATCTGATGTTTGAACTATTAAATCTAATTTTATGCCCAAATTTTAGATGAATTCTTTTCAATCTTGAACATATATAACATCTTGTTCTCTACTAATGGGATGCTATTTCTTTTGTTCAACAAAATTAAAGACGAATAAAGTTTAACAAAACTAGTGAAATAATACATTCGTTAATTAAGGGACTGAATTCTAAGCATGATTAGGTATATAAGTCAAAGAAAAACGGGGAAAGGTGATTAGATAAGATATAACATAACTTTAGCTTACCGAGGATATGATCTTAGATACAAAGGTATGGAGATCGAGGATTAGAGTACAACATCAGTAAATATACAACTGCGTATTGTGGCACTTTATGTTGGAGAGGGATGCGACTAGCTAGCTGGCTAGCCTCAGTAGTATTATTTAATTAGTATCACATAGTTTTTTATTCTTCAATATGCATTACGTCGCTTCATTTATATTGTTATTATGTTATTATTATTTTTCTTGCAACTTTGTTTCGATTTATTTTTTTTAGCCAAGGGTCTATAAAAAATTACAGTCTTTTCACCCCGCAAAATGTATGGTTAAAGTGTGCAATAGCGTAATAATTAAGATACATTATGAAGGATGTCCAAAATTTGGATAGTAAATTCAGAAAGAAAAAAAAAAGTAACTCTATAAGGATTTGATCTTGCATTGTCACTAAGATACTACTCACTTCACATCAAAATTATGTGTGTTTTTAATACTTTACAAATTTTAAGTAGGCCACAATTAAAGAAAACAAAATACAGACACAAGGAATCGAGCCATGAAAAATCAATTCTCAAATCTTATTATTAAGTCATATAGTATCAAACAAGGACTATAGTCAACAAAAATAATGAAATATCAAGAATTAGAGGTGAAAACAGATTATCTAATGTCGTTAATTAAAAATGAAAACATAGAACATTATATTCTCCTCTTGGAGCTATTATTAAAGACTATATTATTAAAGTCATTAAGTCTTCTATTATTATATTTATTTAGAGGGAGACAAACAAATATGCCAACTTTTTTCACATGAAGTCACATGAAGATTTTGATCGTTGAGACGTTCCGCTCAAAGAAATAAAGTTTTTTCCCAATTAATTTGTCACATCGCTTATGAAACATTTTGAATAATTTATTGTCTTTTTTAGTGTAACAAAAGAAAACATATTTACAATTTGTTTAAGCACAAGTAATTGTAATTATGACAAAAAACAATAATATTTTCAACCTATATTATGAAATAAATAAATAATCCATAAAAGATAACTAGCACACAAACTGCATGAAACAAGTTTAGAACCAAACTGTTATTTTCTGTATTCAGATTAACAAATCAAAAATAATTAAAGATAGAAAAGAAAAAAAAAAACAGAAACATCATTGCACTTGCCATAACATACATGATGTTCATAATATAAAAGGAAAAGATCACAGATACTATTTTCTCTAGACATAATTGGTGCATGACACCTCCCTTCATAAAGAATAACATTAAAAAAATATATTTCTAGATCCAAAAGGGGTATATCTTTATCCTATCATTGTGTGGCTAATAAGGTTGTTCAAACTGAATCGAAATCGATAACTCTAATCAAATTTTTTTTATTAGTTTAGCGTTTCAGATATCGATTTTGATTTTTTTTGTTATCGGGTTATCGGTTCTTAACGGTTTGAGGTTTTTTTCTTAATGGGTTAACCGATAACCCAATAGTAAATTAAATAATTATATTTATACCACTTTGTATATAAAGTTCTTGACTTAGAGTTTAGTTTCCTACTTTTAATTCTGGCGATCTCAAAATCTTGTTTATCTACAATGTTAAAGTATTTGCTTTTGAGAAAGATGCAACTTGTGAACTCATGTACATGATTCCTTCAATTTGTCACCTTGTTTCTAAGTGATTTTCATTAATTTATTTTTGTGTCAAATCTTAACGGTTAAATCGATAACCGAACTGATAACAATCAATAACCAATAAACCAATAACTGATAAGCATATGCATGTCTTAATGGTTCTATAACGGTTTA